TTCAGCCTGCTAATAATGAAAGCCAAAGAAGCCCTTCTCTAGAAAGTGCCCATTATAAAAATGGATAGACTGGCCTAAGAGAGAAAATAGGACACAAATTTTTCAAAGCCTTCTCTTCAAAAGAGAGAGAGGCACATTTACATTTCCTCTGTAAAGGGATATATTTTTTCAGCAGCTTGGATGAGAATTATTGTCAAGATACTTGGATAGATTCACCTTCTCTGCTTCTGGCACTTAGAGGGTGCAAAGCAGCAGAGTATTCCTCTGGTGTGAAGGAATTCAAAACTGGTAAAGCCAGCTTCTATATCAGTTGCCCTCTACTACTCCTGGCATATGGGGTACACCGGGGAGGGTGGAGACATAGCAAAGCTTCATTCTGCTATGCCATTCCTCCAGCAGTGACTCTTATGACTCTTATGCGAGTGGGGTAAGTTAGAGCAGCCCCGAGGCTGTTTTAATTCATGGCAGGGACAGGATTTTGCAGAATTAGAGAATCATAACCAGTTCCCCACGGCTTCTCACATCCCTGCATTGAGAGGAGCTTGGACAAATCAAGCCCTATGTGCTAACAAGAACAAAAGGCCCTGCAACATCAAATGCACGGTGTGCTAGAGAGAGAAAATGAAAAACGGCTCAATAAATGGGTAGCGTGTCATATGAGCACATAGGAGAACATCATTTTGTTGTGTGGAATATAAATTCTTACTACATGTTTTCAACCAGAATAGAGTGATAAGATGAGCAGTTGCATTAGTGTAGAGAACTTCTAACACAAAAATGAGATGAAAGGAAAATGAGTGATTTCTACAGCAGGATGGGCCAATATGATAGTTTCATTCTCTCCCACTGGCCACTACCCTCATTTCTGTTGAGAGAGGAAAACACATACCTGGACCCTCTGCTCTGACTTCCAACAAGGGCATTTGTCTGGCTATACCGAAAAAAGGACAAGAGACATTTGACATGGGTTTAATCAGGCTGCAACTTTATTATTAGATGTCTGGGACTACCTGGCAGATAAAAGTGTACAGTGCGGGTAACCCCATGTTTATTCTGTAATTACCCAGGGGGCTTTTACCAGCTCCCCCTCTTTTTCCATCCAGGTCCCTCCAGCAAATTTATTGCCGGGACCTAAGTATACCCGGGGGGCTTCCACCAGCTCCTCCTCTTTTCCATCCAAGTCCCTCCAGCAAATCCATTGCTGGGACCTTACCATCCACCCCCACTCATAGGAGGATTAAGGTGGGTAATAAGAATGGGATGTTGGCTCTCTGCAGTACCTATCATAGGAGTCCCCAACTGCCCTG